AAACCAAAATGGACATCCCCGCTAAACACTGAAATGAACCGGATGGCTGCGAACCACCAAGTAAAGAACAAATTCTGGAAGGCAAAATTGACGCACAAGACCATTCCTCACGATTTTATTCCTGGAAAGTGATCAGTGGCAAAAAACAAGTTAGGTGAAAGTGCCCCAATTCCTAGGTTCAGCGCCCCAATGTCTCTCCTTTTCAGGGTGGGGGTCCGAACATAGGAGCCGAAGCCACGGGTTGGTGTCCCTCATGAATTTCGTTTAGTCATCCCCTTCACCTACTCACATGTGCAATCTACTTTGACCCTGGTTTCAAATCCGGACAGAGAAATTGTCATATCCGTTGTTGCCTTCCTATAATTGAGTCTATCGTAAAATACGAAACAGTTTTGGAGAAAATCTCGGTCTTGGTTCCCTCCCTTCATTTTGACAGGTGCTCGCAGGGGAGACATGGCCATGGGTCAAAATCCCGTACCACCAGTGAACATCCGAATCCCCACTAAAATAGGTTCTAAAATGGGTGGTGCACCTACCCCAAAAATGGTACCATCGGTTTTGACCCACAGCCACACGCGTGGCGCTCCTGTCGATGGCGCTGGGGGCGTTGTCTCGCCAGGACTCCTGCCGCTGAAGGAACTTGTCGTTGTGCTGCACGCAAAGCCTCGGCGCAAACACCGGACAGGCAGCACCTCCTCAAAGGTTTTTTCTGGACTTTCAGGGCCTAGAAATTAAGAAAATGATACTCATATAAATGCTAATAATGATACTACGAATAACAATAATAATGCGAATCGCGATGATATGACAAGTAACTTAAGCAAATACTTCCATTTGGTTTGTAAGACCCCTGGGAAAAATGTCCAGTGGTGATCACTTCCTTGAAAAAAAACAAGGGACAATCAAAAACTATTCTTTTCAGCAAATGGAAGTACAAAAAGGGCCTAAGTATTTAGAATGGGGTTGGCGGGGCACCTTTACGGCAACATGCCTCGTGATCATGGAAGACTCCTAGGTCCTCCAGTAGAGAGGTTACAATAAGGGTAACCTTTTTGCTGTAGTCTACTTTAGTAGGGGAACCCTCCCCCAAAAAAGAGTGAAAGGGCACTACTGGGGAACCTAGACTCGCATATGATCATCTAGGCCCTCTTATTGAACAATCAGAGCCACGCAGGTCGCTTATAGGACTGCCGTAGATTTGTAAAACGTGTGGAGCACTAATGTTGGCCGGGGTTGCTTTGCTAACGTGACTGGTGAGTTTCACCTAAGTGCTTCAAACATATGATTGAACAAAAAGGGGTCTATTGCGGCCACAGCCATTGAACGAGTACCTACCTCATATCGGTGTTTCGTGCCCTTCAAGGCTCTGATCGCACTGATGTTTGCAACTGGGTACCTGATGAGAACCCAGCACCAGGTCGAATTGCTACTCCTGGGTATTGTACTCAGATGCCCAGTGGCTATGGAAAACAGGCATCCTTTTTTGGTTGGTTGAGTTTAAAGGGGAACCCTTCCCAGGGCAAAGTGGGTGTGCCAACGTTTCTCGACACTCCTTGGCAGCAATAGATGGTCTTTTTTCAGGTCGGCCTTGATGCTGAGTCCATTGACAGCAACTGCATGTCACTTTCAAGGGGATTGCTTTGGTATCGCAGAAAAGGAATGGGCCCTGCTACCCCTAAAGCAATCCTTTTTGCACCTGATATACCCAGCCCAAGGCTAATGACAATATACCAGCCTGAGGGTAGTCCGCCCTGTCAGACGTCAAGCCGCGGCCAGGTCCCGCAATCTGAATTCCACCCGGTGAATCTCAGTTTCCACTTTCCTCTTGACGTTTTAAAGGGTGGTTCGCTTGACCTACAAAACCAGGGAACTGGAATCGCTGGGTGTTCACACCCTTCCCCACCCTGCAATCGGCGCTCCATATCGCCAGTACTAAATGTTGTATTACCAATACTTAATCAGGTGTTGCAAATACAAAATTTAGCGTTGCCAGTACTATATATTCAGTACTGCAGCGCTCAATTTAGTATTGCAGTACGAAATTTAGTATTGCCAATACTAAATTTGGTACTTTCTAGTCGGGCGGTGAAACGAGTGCTCCGAGTACTAAGTTGAGTGTTGCCAGTACTAAATTGCTAGTACTAAATCTAGTATTGCCAATATTATATATGGTGTTGCCAGTACTAAATTTAGTATTGCCAGTACCAGATTTAGTACTGCCACCACTTAATTTGGTATTGCCAGTACTCAATTTAGTATTGCCACTACTTAATTTAGTATTGCCACTAATTAATTTAGTACACGTGCAAAAACGAAATCATCCCTCTGCTGGTTTTGGCGGCCCCGCGCAAAGATAGAAACTCTCCGAAAAGCAAAACGTGACTTACGGCCCAAATTGTTCCAGACATTCCGCGACCGGAGAGTTTCTATCTTTGCGCGGGAGAGTTTCTATCTTTGCGTTTCGCGCCCTCATTTTGCGGGGTGCCAGGTCTGAAAAACAGTTTCTATCTTTCCGAGGATGGTTATATACATATATTTATGTGTTCTTGGACATGTTAACTTTTTGCACTGTTGACGTATTCAGCATCCTCTCACTGCCAATATTTTGCATAGCGACAACACCTGGCACCAGCAAAGTGGGACTTGCGCCAAGCTCATCGGCCACTAATCACCAATCCAGAACAACATCGCGCCACTCCTCGCCGGGCAAAGCTTGGCTCGATGCAAACCTGAAAAACCAATTACCTACGCTGTCCGAGCGTCCATTACAAACATTTGAAATGGAGGAGACGTGAACGCCAGTATGTGCAGCCGCTGCTTTGAGAGACTCGAAACGAATCCAGAGGAGCTCGTCAACTTTGCAGGCAAGTACTGGCTTCCTCTTGTTTGGCTGTTCAAGCTTGCGCTCACCCATTCTCGAATACATATGCTGCACGTTTTCCGCTGCTGTTGCATACTCCAGATTGCTCACATGATTATTGCCAGGATTGCCATCCAGGTGATTGACATGTAGGTCTGGTGTGTGTGGTTGCCCTAGAAAGGTGGCAGCAACCAGGCGGTGAACCATCAGCCTCTTTTGCACAGCTTCTTTCTTTCTACTGTAAAGTATGGAAAAATAGCCCGCCTCGCTGTAGCATCCATGTGTCACCCACCCGTTAAGTGTCTGGACTCGGCCGTGGCTGCTCACCATCCAATTCGAAAGGGCCACTGGCATGCCAGGATACTTGGCAGCTTGCCACACCTCTCCTGGATGGTTTTCCTCCTCTCCAAACTTGAACTCATACCCACCACTTGATCGCACACGTCCGTTACAGCAGTTGCTCACATAGGAGCGGTTCACCCCTAGCGCTTGCTCTGCTTCGGCCCGAGAAGCCAAGGTAGACCATGGCCCAGTGCCCACTGCCCGGTACAGAATCGGCTTTGTTCGCCTCTCACTGCTCCGCGCTCTTGTCGCCCATGCATGCCTCACATTCTCCGATGGCGTGGCATACTCCAAGTTGTTAACAGCATTGTTGGCTCGGTTTCTGTCTATATGATGTACACATGTGTGGGCTGCGGTGGGAGGCGGTCCATGAAAGGCTCTCACTACCAGGCGGTGGACCAGGTAAGGCTTTTTCTCAATTTTCACCAGCCTGTAGCCCTGGGAGCTTGGGCTCCCACAGTGAGTTATGCCGCTTAGCGTCTTCACCCGGCCCAAGGAGCTGACTTCCCACTTTCTGGAAAGCGCTTCTGATTGGAGCCTGATCTGACAGCTCCTCCCGCAAAAAGGCGCTTTGAACACAGCAAAGGGCCGAAGTTGCTCCCACGAGAACCGATGCCAGGCTCGCATAGCGAGAGGACTTCGAGCCAGGCGCCTGTGGTCTCGGAAAGCTCCTGACATCGTGATTAGAAACGTCCAAATATAAACATCTCAACTCCTCCGCCGGAGCATGAACCCTTTGCCTTCAAATTACCCGCGAATTGAGTTCGAAAATCGAGAAACACAATGTCAAGGCAAGGAATGCCCCAAAATGCAGCTGTGGATGGTGGCAAAGCAACTTGCACGTCTGACTCTCGAACAAATGCTGAAGAGTCGTTTTGCGGCACAAGTTGCCCGCCCTCTCTGCCCCCCAGTGCGGCTCAAGGTGCGACGCCAGTCGCCTGGCCGTCTTGTGCTGCGTCAGCGGCGTCATGTCCCCAACCTGGCAGGCCACGCATCGGTGAAGCGCTGGGTCCTCCAGTAGTTTGCGGTCAGAATAAATGTTGGTACCAACTTTTTGTTCAGTCTATGTTAGTAGGGGAACCAAATCTCCCCAACAAAAGTTGGTAAAAGGGCACTACCAACTTTTTGTTCAGTCTATTTTAGTAGGGGAACCCTCCCCAAAAAAAAGTTGGTAAAAGGGCACTACCAACTTTTTGTTTAGTCTATTTTAGTAGGGGAACCCTCCCCCAAAAAAGTTGGTAAAAGGGCACTACCAACTTTTTGTTCAGTCTATTTTAATAGGGGAACCAAATCTCCACCAAGAAAGAAGCGGTAAAAGTTGGCACCAATTGCTGGGGGATCTAGGAAGTGACACAACTGGGGACCTAGGAAGTGACACAGCCTTTCCGCGATGAACATTCCATGTCACCCCGAATTCAACCCCAGCTGGGTCTGCTCCAAAGCGGAAGGCCCCGATTTCGTCAATTCCGATCCGACAAGGGCCAAAAATGGGCGAGATTACCTCACTTCCTGAGTGGCTGGGCCAAGAAAAGTCCAGCAACTGTTTGCTGGTCACTAAAATGGTTCAAACCCCCAAAAGTGATTAACGTCCAGGAACTCAGGGACTGAGTTATAGGGACACCAAAGGAACACAGTCATTTTAGGGTCTGCAGACACGCCCAACCTTTACCGCGCGAGCTTGTTTTCTCAAATCAGTGAGCTGGCTCGTTAAAAATGTGTGAAGCCAGCTGCAACTGGAAGCCCGGCAGGCTTGGGCCTGTCCCCCGAATGAAAAAGCGCTTAAACCCATGTGCTTGCTAACCGTACAAGAAGGACACCCGATTTTGACAGTCACTGGAGTTCCCCTGCAGTCTTTCCTGAGTTCTGGCTGGTGCCTGGCTTGTGTTGTAGTAAAAGTAGATCACTGCTCATTTGCTCGCCCCCCAAAACACGGCCAATTAAACACCCATCTTTCGGATTCTCTTCAAAGGGATCAGGGTCTGGTTCTTGACAGTTGGGTGAAAGCAGCTGGGTCCCTTAAACACACTGAGTCGGGCTGGGTCAACACATTGAACCTGCAAAATCCGTTCGGGATCTGGTCTAGGTCCTCCAGTAGAGAGCTTAGAATAAGGGTACCAATAATTTTTCTGTAGTCTATTTTAGTAGGGAAACCCTCCCCAAAAAAAAGGGGGGTGAGAAAGGGCACTACTGGGGGACCTAGTGGTTGTTCCCCAAAAGTAGTGTATGTAACCAATAGTCATAGAATTCCACCCCTGCCTTCCCTAACCCCACGCCTCTCCTGGTTTCCTACATGGAATCCCGCAAAGGTGTCCTCTTGGGAAAATTCTACTGGGCCTGGTAGATGATGAAACAACCAGTTAACCAGGAATCGGCATCTGAGTCATAATCAACAGCTGGTTTCAACATGGTCCCATCGCCGACGTAGAGTCAGAGTACACGCATCACCTGCACCAACGGCTGGGTCTCAACTACCGGCACGCCCAGCTCTTGAATCACAAGTGGCAGACTGTCAGCCTTGGGACCCTCTGTGATGCCCACTTGCTCTGCCTCTGCACTGTACAAAGCCGTAGTCACCTGTTTCCTGCAAGCTGAGATCTCAGAACATTCTTACACTATACACCTGAACATTGCAACTTGTAAATGGTGGTGTCCCATTATTTGTGTGGAAAAAGCCATGTTTCAACTGGTTGCAAAATGGAGATCTTTTCAGGAGCCCTGCAGAACCAAAAGCATACATGGCTTCTCCGGAGTTGGATACTGTACACCCAGACCGATCCGCTAGCTCGAGGCGTGTGCGGCTTTCGGGCGCCCGAGGGCTCTCTAAGAAAGTGTCTGGGCTATTCACATGGGTAGGGTCGTGCTTTTCCATGATCAGAGTTAGGCAACCAGTTATGGAATGTATATTTTATTCTTTGCTTCACTGGTAAAATGTAAAATGTATCCTAAGTCTACTCTTGGGGGGCCCACTGTTCGCGGAAACCAACTGGAATCCTTCTGCATTTTGGGAGCCCCCCCTCATCTTCGGGATAATCTCTGGGTTGGTCCAAGCCGCCCGAACAAAAAGGGCCGTTGGCCTTTGGTAGGCTTAGTGACAACTGCATGTACCCAAAATTTTCAAAAGGTCCTTTAGCGAGATTTTGGCACGAAAACCCCGCCTTTTATCCATCACATAGCTGCGTCTTTCTTTTAGAGGATTCCTCCAAAATGGATTTCGGTTTTCCTGTTGTTATCCTTCAACACCGCCAAAAACTGGGTACCAACACCGGAAAAAAAGCCACGCACGTCTTCCCACCGAGTTGAAGCCGAAACCGACAAATCGAATCGCATCGAATTCCGAAATCCACGCCGAGGCCTGGGGATCTTGCAGCCGGTCCAGCGGCAGAAAGGTCTCGGAGGCGATCCGCCCGTCCTCGTTTTGGCTCTCGCCCGCAACCCATCCTTCTTGTCGGATCGAACAAGTACACGGCTTAAGGGGGGAAACAATGAAGATACCTTTTGAAAGGAGTGAATTCAAAGGAAACCACCCTTTTTGGGGTCCCGAAACCCCTTGAAAGGAGTGGTTTGATTGGGGAATTCAATGAAAAACCAGGGCCCCCGAAAAAAGACACATACGTGGCCAAACGAAATTCACGCATGTATGCTTGAATTGAAATTCCACAGTGCCCACTACCCCATTCGGATTGTTTGGGCACTTGCAGTCTCACTACCTGAATTGATTGACCAACAAAGTCTTGCCAAGCTCCCACTCAAATGGTCTTCCTAAAAATGAGTGTGTCTTTTCGAGGGTTCTTTGGTGTGTTTTAAAAAGAGTACAGAGCTCCTTGGAGCAGGGCAAATGGGGCCATGTTGACCTGGTCGTGCGCAAATTGTTCAGATGTGCTTGTGAAAAAACGTTTTGCTGGAGCAACGTCAAAAAGAAAACAGGGAGTGCACGTATCAAGCAGTATTACATGCTTGATGGACATTTGTTCAGGCTGAACAAGCTAGATTCCACAATTTCCTTGGCTCACATCAGACAATGATCTGTCAACTGTACTTAGTACGAATAGGAACCCTTGCCTCCAGCATAGAGCGGTAACAAATACATGCCACAAACAAAAATAGCGGTGACGGACATTCAGACACATGTGTCAGATTACACGACAATGATATCTACATATCGTGCCACTGCCAATGATTTCCAAAATCAGACAATGTCAATCAAAAGGATTGGCAACAGACACAACATAAGGTCAAACACACATTAGAAGACACATGCGGATCAACTTCCAGAAATTCAAGATCACTGCTACACGTGCAAACAATAGAATGCCTTGCTCAACAATACTAAGCCATGTTGTTGTTGGCTTCATCCCAACCAATGCCAAAATGCAGATGTTGTGAATTTGCCCGCTGTTCAATACTGCAGAACTGTTGCCCCTTGTTGTTTTGGTTTGCACTTTTCTTGCAGGCAGAATTAAGAAAACAACATGGACCTGTTAAACTTGGTTTCTTCACTCGGGGGCAGACCAACAACAACACAAAATGGACCTTTAAACTTGTCTGATTCACCACAAGGCGCGCTCTTTGATTTAAAAGGGTACCTCTTGTTTCCCTTTGAAACCACGCAAAAGGGTGTCCTCAGAAAAAGATGCACCCATTTGAAAACCTCCAACACCTGAATCCAAAGTTCGGCTTTACCACTCCGATCCGGAAGCCCCGGAAGGCACAATCTCGAAAGGAGGGGCAAGGGTCGCATTTCGGTGCTCGTGTCGACCTTGACGCTGGCGAAATCCGATTTGTGGGCTGAAGTGCGGGACCAATTCGTGAAGAGAAACTAAACTTGGGTGTTCGATTCGCTAACTTAGTAAGCGGTTAGCCACCCGAACCCTTTTATTTCAGTCCCCCAAGTGGAGTTGGCCTGGTTGTGAGTAGGTTATACCTAGGTTACCAACCACTTACCAACTTGGCCAAATACCAAGAAGCAATCCATCCGAGTATGGCTCGTCAAAATATAAGGACATCCAACATGGAGTTCGGTTGTCTTGTTTAAAGCCACACCAAAAAGGCTGCCGGCTACCGAGCCTTCAAAACACACGCCCAACTGCTTCTAATGGAGATCCGAATGATCGGAACCTATTTTAGGGGGAGCTTTGGTTTCCTCAATTGTTTGCTCCCCCAGTGTTAGGTTCCCCAGATTCCTTTTTAGGGTTCACTGAGACTCCACCCGAGCCACGTGGTTTTGTCTCCAAATAGGAACCCAACAAGCAGAAGGTGGTCCTTTCAATTTCCCTTGACAAAGACCTATGGGATGGTGGGACAAGCAAACCTACCCCGTGTTTTTTAGTTTCAGAAACCTATAGAGGAAAAACAAACGAACATGGTGAAAAAAAAAGTCCAACTCCTGCCTACCTGCTCACTTCCCGAGAAGATTGCCCCACACAAAAGTCCCAAGTTTGTACATATACCTTTCCAACGTTTAAAGCAACAAGTCGGAACTTGTTCTTTACCACCAAGACGTGTCATTTTCCAACAGCTTACCTCCATTTGCTTAAGTCCCTGGGGAAAAAAAAAACAACAGTATAGTGATAGATCCCCTTTAAAGCCAACAGGAGAAAATCCCAAAACACCTTCTCAACCAAATGGAATTTGTTTTTTGGTAAGTGAGGCCCGGAAGTGCCATAAAAAGCCAGTCCGCCTTTCCCGGCTTCGAAGGCGGCTCGACCTCGGCTCCCGCGTTGCTTCGGGTCCTTCAAGTGGCGCAGGCACTGCCGCGCCGCCGCGGCGTCCTTCACCACGAAGGCCTCGGCCCATCGGCGGCGTCGGGGAAGGGCCGTCGGAGGCTGAGCCGTTGAGCCGTGGCCGAGAGGGAGAAACCAAAAGCAACCAACACCTTTGAAGGTTCCCACTCACTTCCCAAGCTGACTGGCCAAAAAAAACAAGGAACTTTTTGTTTGCCACTAAAATGGCCTTTCCGAAAAGCTTCAAGTCCACCAACTCAGGAAGTGAGCCCATGATAAAATGTCCGATTTCCCATAGTGGGTAAGCTTTAGAGGGACACCCAACCGCTAAACCCAAAAAAGCCAAAGGGGACGGCTGGGGCTCGCAAGAAAAAGCAATCAACCTGGATAGCCAAGTTGCTTGATCGCTTTTTATCACTCACTGTTGCGAGCAGGTTTGGGGTAAAGAGTGCATGGAAGGAAAACAACAACAACTGGCGATCTAGGAAAACCGTTTAAGGTTACCATGAAAAAAGGTCCGATTTGCCTGGTTGAACATCCAAGGAAAGGCCGGGGATCTGGGAGTTCCAGGTCGACCAAACCCATGGGTAACGAGAATCTGCCGATTCCTCTGGCCACAGCACAAAAAAGGGCTTCCTGTGGTTTGCGTTCAAAGCCACCAAACAAGGGACGCCCAAATCTGAGTATTGTAAATCATAGTGCGCTCGCCTGAAATAGGGAGCCTAAAAGATATTGAAACCGCGCACAAAGAATTGAAGAGCCAATTCACAAAGCCTGAAAAGCATAGGGCTCCTTGACAAAATAAAGCAGAGATAAACCCAAACCCAAACAACAATAAGCAACCGAGCAAACAAGCCGAAAAGTAAACACTCACGCAAGCAAGCAAGGAACCGAGCAAACAATCAAACAAGCAAACCTTGTGGAATCCCTAATGTTTGTGTAGGCAAAAGGTGGTGTGAGAGCCCAAACGGGTTCCTTGGGGTTGTTTAGAAATTCCTTAGGGAACCCCCTCTCCCCCCTGCGCGCAAGCAAGCACAAGAGAGTCTCGCAAGCCGCCTCGGCCATTGCGCCCAACGCCCTGGCGTGAGAGAATGTTGGGGCCACTTTGGCGATTCCTCCAGTCGCTCCTTCGTCTCCTGGGAAACAAATAAGCACATATTTCAATATAGAAGGACATGTCTTACGGGCTACTTGGCTTGAAAGTGCCCAGGAAGTGAGACCAAATCGATTCCCTAAGCCAAGAGAGGAAAACAAACATTACACTCAGCCCCGCTACCAGTATAGTAGGCAACCCACGTTTGTCCCCAGCTTTCGGTGCTCTCGGAGCGGCTGGAAATGCCACCTGGGCTTGTAGCTTTGTTTGTTCAAGGGCGGGTCCATTGCTTAACTCTGTTTGCTTTAGTTTTCTTGGTAAGAAGCATATATGTAGTTTCATTACTAATAAATTCCCTTTGCACACCAAGAGAGGAAACTTTTAACAATTATTCTCAAGCAATGAAAACTTACCTACTAGACAGGCAACGGAATCACTGGGCCTGGCAGCAACTCCAAAATAATCTCAACTGAACGGCAAAGGTCGTGTGCCAACTATCATGGCTGAATGTGTTAACTTGTCCAAAGTATGTCCCTGTTTTGGTGAAACCCTGGATGCATCAAACTTGCGGAATAATGAAGGAGTGGTTCGTCCAAGAGTGATTTGAATTCCCATGAAAGTGGGACACCCCCTCAGTCAGGGAGGGGTTTATTGATCCTTGGTTTCAGTTACTACAAGCTCGAATAGAAAAGTGCCCCTCTTTGTCCACGCTGAACACTGATCACAAAGAGGCAAGCGACTTTCTAACTCGAAACGACCCAGACACCAGTGTCAAGGCCCATGTTGGCGTAGAGTGTGGCTTTGTTTAGCCTCATTCTGTTATATTCACCTACAGTATATTTCTTGAGTTTTTGACGTGGCCTGGGTCTGAAAACTTGGGTGGTCTGGGTCTATGAGATGTTCAAGGTGCGCCGAAACCAGCTGAACCCCCAACTCTTTGCACGTGAAACTCACGGCAATGGAACCAGCCTGGCCGTGAAACAGAATCGGCTTGGAACTATCTCCAAACCGGTACTACAAGCCGGGGGCAGCCAGCAGACAGCTGCAAACCAAGAAATAAACCGGGCACCTGGCCTTGGAAACACCAAAGTCAGTCTCCGGAAAGGAATGAAGTGGTGACTGAGTTGGTCCAGGGCAAGTGGCCAGCTGACTCACTCACATTCTGGGTCACACCCACCTATTAGTAGGATGGATTCTACTTAGATCTGGGGTTCCCGGTACCTGATACTAGTATCTCATGGTATCTCTTTGCACTTCCTGAAGTGGATCGGAACCGCCCATTTCAGGTGTACACGTGTGGGGAAGCACAGGCCTCCATACAAAACGGTTCCCAGAGGAAACCTGTCGTATCCCAGTGAGAAGCTGAGTTATCAGTGTGAGCTAGGGTTCAAATTTAACTGAAAGCATGGTTGACCTATGGTGTGTAAAGCCGACACCGGGGGGTCGGAACCCCCCCCCAAACCCTACTGTCTTTTGGGGGAGGGGTTCGGATCTGGGCAATGTTTTCTGACGCTGCACCAAACCCGGGTCTAATATCTATGTTTTCCAGGGCCAAATTAAAAACTAAAAAACTTGTTTGGGCAAATGGCTTCTTCGGCAGGCTATTTTTCTGAATTGCGCGTTAGACAACTTAGGTTTAGGGGGGAAGTGGGAATTCCAAGAATTTTGGGAAGCATAAACAAGAAAATCGCGTAAGTGCATTTTAAGCAGACTGTAGCTACAGATGCGTTCTTGGGTCTTGCCAGGCCATGCCAGGGAGCCAGATTTTCGACGGTTTGTACATTGTCCGCAGGGGGTTCACGCCAAGTGTGGGCAAATTTGGCCACGGCTGCCAAGTTACCGCGCGCAAGTGATTGAGCAAGCGCAATCCGGGCACCAGACGTGTTTCTTCCACAGGCTTGTCGCATTTGGGCGCAAGCCCTCGCTTTGGGGAACTTCGCGCAAAAGCATCGCGACGGGCGCTGCGTCGCACAAAACGGCACGTGTCGTCATTCTCAACACAGGATGTCTGAAATCAACATCACTATTCAAAAGCAACCAGAGACATCGCAAAGAAACGCGGTGAAACCTGGCCTTGCGATATGGAATTACATGAAGCCAGCTGCAAATCCGCAGGAAGCCAGGCAAACGAACGTTTTTTTCGTTCGCAGCTTCGAGGTGAAAACAAAACGCTATTGCTTTTTGGTCCAGCAATGGACCTACCTACTGCTCAAGACAGTCACACGGCTCTCAAGGCAACGCGGGACTATCCAGCAAAGGTCTCGGCCGAGCCTCGGCCATAGCAGCATGAAAATTGATGGATGGGCAACGGCAAGTGACGGCAGGTGTGCGCCGAAATTTGTCAGGTCCAACGGCAGATAAATATGGCTACAGTGTAGCAAGAACTCGCGAGCTGGAGCGAGCTTGGGTTGACTGTGCCTGCGCTCTGCGCACAGGAGCGCAAGCAACAGTCACCTCAAGCTGCCACCGGCTGCAGGCACCAAGCCAGGCCAAAAAGCAGCACCATGTCAATAGCATCGTCAACTCGCAGATGCCAGGCAATGCGTTCTGCGTGAGCGATCCAGTCACGTCACTTGCTGACCGTGCTTGGCTTGGCTTCCCATGCGACGCGGGTACACTTGAGTGAGACTTACCTTCGACCGCAACCATCTCACGGGACTCACGGGGCGCCACGATGCGTTTCCCAAGTGGCTGCTTTTGTGTCATTGGGGCAGGCGCAGGCCCCGCGCGCTACAAGGCGCTTGCCGCTCGCGCGCTCCGGAGCGCTCTCCGCAGTTGTTTGCGCGAGATACCGCGGCTTTCGCTGAGTTGCGGCTGCAATGTAGTGGCTGGATAGCGTAGCGACCTCAAAAGCTGCAAGCGTTCTCAAGTTTTCCAATCTAGAATTAGCGTGTTCGGCAGCTGTGTCGGCGTGTCCTTGTGCACAAGATATCTGTCCGCACGCGCTCCGTGGGAGAGACAGACTGCGCATGCTCACTTCAGCCCAGCTGCTCTTGTGGGAATACTCGATGCGCGCGAACTCAGAATGTGTTTAAGCATTTTCGCGCGCTCCGGAGCGTCCACGCTTGACACAGAGGAATGGCCGCGCGCTCCGGAGCGCGCGTGAAGCAAGGGCGCGCGCTCCGGAGCGCGCAACCACAATGCTCGCTGCACAAAAGCTAGCAATGTCCTCGGCAGAATGTCAATCAAGCACTGAGGCACACAGCGACAACACACGCGTCTTGAAGCGATCCTTTCCCATTTCCGCGCTCCGGAGCGTCCATGCTTAGCGCCCACGCTTGACTGGAATGGTCGCGCGCTCCGGAGCGCGCGCGCCCTCGCTTCACGCGCGCTCCGGAGCGTGCGACATGGCTGCGATTGGTTCGCGTTGTTCGCGCAAGCACCAGCAAGCTTTTTTCACTGCTGCGCGCAGACCCAGAGGATGAAACCCAAAGGTTGCACAGATCTAAACACAGGACTGCTGAAATGTCACTGCTTTCCGCATGAAACCCGCAGGTTGCACAGAGCAGCTTTCTAAGCACAGGACTGCTGAAATTTCACTGCTTTGTGGATGACATCCACAGGTTGCACAGAGAAGCTTTGTAAGCACAGGACTGCTGAAAGTTCATTGCTTTTCGGATGAAACCCAAAGGTTGCACAGAGCAGCTTTCTAAACGCAGGACTGCTGAAATGTTCACGGCTCTCTCGGATGAAACCCAAAGGTTGCACAGAGAAGCTTTCTAAACACAGGACTGCTGAAATTTCACTGCTTTTCGGATGAAACCCAAAGGTTGCACAGAGCAGCTTTCTAAACACAGGACTGCTGAAATTTCACTGCTTTTTGCATGAAACCCAAAGGTTGCACAAAGAAGCTTTCTAAACACAGGACTGCTGAAATTTCACTGCTTTGTGGATGACATCCACAGATCCACCAGTTGCACAAGAGAAGCTTCCAAAGACACAAATGCTGAAATGTCACTGCTTCGTGGATTAACTCCACAGGTTGCACACAGAAGCTTTGAAGCGCGGGATTGCCTTAACGTGCTGAGGAAAATCAAATGATTTTGCCACACGCATCAAATCAATGACAGGCAGCCAGTATGGGCCTTCAAAACTTGAGTGGCTAGTGAAAACTCCGACCTGGCAAAAGGGCAAGCGTGGGGAAAGACAAGGCAAAACAAGGCTGGACAAGACCGACAACAAAAATGATGGCTTTTCGGGGCCCATCCCAATCTATTTATTTACTTATTCATTTACTTGAACTTTGCATTTAGTTATTTACTTATTCTTTTTAATGCTTCTCAAATACTCTACAAACAGATCAAACTAAACTCTACACTGGCTGATTGGCCTGAGCCGCGCACTTGTCACGCAGGCGCTGCACCAAGCGCGCCGGAACAAGCACAAAACGTGCATCGCTGGTCAACCTGAAGCCAGCGCCAAGCAAGCAAGCGCTCCTGGAGCAGTCTTGGAAACTGCTCAGCTCTCCCTCAGTCCTGCCCATGACTGTAAGGTAGCCAGGCCCGGCATTGTCTCTGGTACTGCCCGCCAACGAAGGCCAGCTTTGGGACAATCACAGGGCAAGTCACCGCGAAAAACTTTGAAATTCGCCGCTTCACAAATGACTCCCCCACGTGCTCCCCCGCGCTCGCTCGTCTCATCCGAGTTGAACGAGCGCTTGGCAAGTTTCTCCAAGCATCCAGCAGCACAACATGATTTTCCTGGCCAGGGCGGGCAACGTCGTGGGGGCGCTTGTCTACTTCCACACAGGCGCGCAGCAAACGGCATGTGTGGCTGACATGAGACTCATCTTCCATGCAAACTTTGCAAACAAGGACCAGGACTGCAGGAAGCCTGACGCCTCGCTGAGAGGCGTCCGAACTTGCACGCTGCCGGACTGGCCGGACTCCACCAACAAGTGGCCCCCCATCAGGTATGGGCTCATAAGCCCATTCCATCAGCTCGTGGAGCCCAGATTTGGAGACACAGGAAGATGTATCTTTTGG